CCGACGGCAAGGGACAAGGGTCAAGGGCGAAGAGGCGGGAAATGAGGGAAGTGGATGCGGGCCGGACTCCAGGAGCAGAGGCAAAATGTGTATGCCTCGACACTTGTTGGCAAGTGCCCCAGACCAAAGCTGCCACGCAGCCAGAGAGGCAGCCACCCACCTACCCACACACACACACACACACACACACATACACAAATACTCACACACACCTTTGCAGCTGCAATCCGCAAGAAATGTATCTTATAAATACATAGAGCAAAAATATGTACATAAATATACGTATGTATATACATACATATGTACATATATGTTTGTATATGAATATAAAAATAAAAATAAATTTGGGAAAATGAAAAGACAAAGCGGCAAATGAAGTCATAAATGTGTAGCGGCAGCGACGCAGCCGAGCTGTTCAGCGAATATAAAAATCAAAAGGGAACGAAAATTAATAAATTACTTACACACAAGTATACACACACACATAGATAGTATGTGCTTAGATAAACGTTTATATACTAATTTACATGCCCTGTATAATCTGCAATGATCTCTCTGCTGCTGCGATGGTAGCAGAGGCAGCAACAGCAGCAACAACAACAGCAACAACAACATAACTTCAAGTCTTCTTGATGGGAAAAAAGGTCAAAGTATCTCTCAAACATACAAAACTCTCACACTCTCTCACACACACATACACTCTCACACTTACAGCTGGGAGCAAATTCGCAGCAGCAACAACAAAAACTTAAAGTCGCAGCTGGTTACACGCACACAAGTACATATACAAATGTATATGCATGTATGTATATGTATGCATGCATATACTAAAATATGTGTAGATAGAGAGAGCTCATAAAAGAGAGAGAGAGCGCGTTAGCAAAGTGTGGGAGCATGGGTACACGAGGGGAGCAGTTACAACCACATAACAGATACATACAGAAAGGTACCCGTACACACACACACACACACACAGAAATAAACTCAGATGCATGCAGATACATATGTATGTGGGTATGTGTTTATATGGCCAATACATTTAGTGCTAGGGCAGCGCAGCGGCCACCAAACTGAGGGACACAACAACACCAACAATGAAAAGTAGCGGCACCAACAGCAACAGCAACAACAACAAAAGTCGCAGCAGTAACAGAAGCTGAAGAAGAGAAATACCAAAAGTACGCTATGCAGCGAAGGTCGCCGTCACTGTTTATCTATCGGTCGACGCTGACGCCAACGTCAACGTCGACGTTAGCGTCGACAGCAACAACGGAGAATTCCTTATAGAAAATCAAGAAAACTGCATTAAATTTTCGTATCTGTTTTGTGTGAATGTTTGCCTTTGTGTACTTGCACACACACACACACACACACACGTAGATACGCGCGCTCATTTGAGCGTGTTAGTCGAATACGGGTTTTTTGTGATATCCGTTCACTCGCTTTAAAAAAAAGCTTTAATACAAGCACACATATACTGGCACACGCATTTACGCTCATATATGTATGTGTGCATGCATGTATCTATATCTAATTAGACAGGTATGTACATAAATACATATACATACATGTACATACATACATACATATATAAAATCAATTGCCGTGTGAGTCTTGCAAAATTTCGAGCTGAGCTTCACTAATTTGATTGATTCTTGTTCGTACTTTAATGTTGGGGTGACTCTGCAAGAGAAGAGAAACAACATTTTCCATTTACATATATTAGAATTTCTTTCACCATGAGGAAGATAAAGGCCAGACCAAAGTATAGATCGGGCAGGAGTTAATTCATAAGTGAGCCGCTCAGATAACAAGTTTATAACATATAATCTCAATATTCATGATGATGCACTAATTTCGATCACAGAAATAAAGATTAAATGATCAATGATAACTATGCAGAAAGAACGATAACGATTACCAATCAAACGCAATTCAGGATTTTACTTATTCTTTTGAGCCCTGCAGCCATAACAATTTAGATTGCAAATGGAATGCAGCCAAAATCAGTGACAGAAGAAAGGGGAAAGACGGTAGAAGAAGATAAATAGATAGAAGGAGCGAGAGGTTTTTGTTTTTGCTTTTTTTTGCCAGCTCAGCGACAAGTTGCAGTGAATCGGCAGGGGCACGATCATGAATCAAACAAATATGAAGGTGGTCACAAATGATACGCTGCTTCACATGCATTGATGGCATTTCAATATATCGAATATCGAAGTATGTAGTTTAAAGTGAACTGAATATTTATCTGTGCATATATTTATGGCTCTACGATTTTGAAATATGTATATGTATAAATAGAAACTTATGCATATTTTATAATGACAAAAATTTCCCTCGACTTAATCTTATATTTTCAATTAAAACAAAATTATTCTACAGTACTGCATTTCTGGGAAAATAAGCGCATTTCAATTGGAGATACCCCAAATCAATTGCCTTTGCTTCTACGTTTTATACTTGTTCATATCTGATGAAAACATCATACGCATACATACATATGTATGTGCGTATCTAGCCCGATCGTAAGGATACTTTGCTGATCAAGGTTATTCGCTTTGGAATGTCTGCTACAAATACAGGAATAATTTTTGCATTGTGCTAGGAAATACGTTCATTAAATATGCGAAAATTGCAACGAGAGCTCGTAATTAGTTTTAATATCGATTTGTAGTGTTGCCAACCTATCATAAGCAGCGAGCCTTTAGACAACTATTAAAGTTGCCACCCTGCGCACCTGACAGCTGAGTTGTAGCTGCAAAGAGAATGCGTGGGAGGTGGAGGTGAAGGTGAAGGTGGAAAGTAAATGGGAGAGGGAGCGGGAATGAGAAAGTTGAGTTTGTTCACCGCCAGAGGGTGCTGCGAAAGTGAAGAGAACAAATCGAAGGTGCCGCTAATGCTGGTATGATGGTGGTAGCAGGGCGAAGAATGGGCAGGATGGAGAGTGGTGTTAGGTATAGGTGGTGGCAAATTAAAAGTAAATTTGCTATCGCCACTTCGAACATGCAGGGTAATAAGCAGCAGCAGCAACAACAGCAACAATAAGAATAACAAAAACAAATAGCACGAACACCGCGATTCGGCTTTGCCGAACGCCAAAGCCGAAGTCCGCGACCACAAAACGAGCACACAAAAGCTTTCAAAATGGGAAGTAGATGGAAATATTCCCGGTTGCGCGCCAACGCGCTCGCCCGCCCACACTGTGACACGCCCAGGGCACGCAAACGCCGCCCTTGCGCGAACAGTGTGTGTGTTTGTGTGTTTGTGTTGAGCTGCCAAAGTCGTTGCGCGCGCGGCATCGTCATCATAGTCGCTGCTGCCACCGCCACTGCTGCCGCCGCCGCCGTCGTCTTCTGCTCTGCCCCTCGCTTTCCCTCGGCCGCTGCCGCTGCCACTGCCTGCCTACCTACCATGTGCTATTGCGCGTCACGAAACGGGGCCTGGCCAGGAGACTATGCAACTTGTGTGTGTTGTCTACACATTGTGTGTTTTCTTGTTGTTTTTCTCTTGTCTTTTCTTTTTTTCTGATTTTTTTGGTTTGCTGTTTGTTGCTTTTGCACTTATTTACATACATACATATATGTATATTGTATTTTTGTTGCACAGATTTATATATGAATTTGTATACATGTACGTACGTATGTATGTATGTAGTATGTACATACATACATATGTATGTATGTATGTATTATGAAAATGAGCTTTTGGTTAAGAAAGCATTACGAGTAAGTAGGTATGTGCGTAAGTATGCATACATACATAAATATGTATATGTATATGCAAATTAAGTTTCTGCATGTGCGTATGTGTATTGTACATATTTTATAGACTGCTTGCTATTTTTGCGCGGAAATGCTTGTATGTATGTGTGTTTGTACCTGTGTGTGAATGTTTGTAAATAAATATCTGTCTTTAATGCCCTGAACACAGTACAAACTTATTAACTAACGGATATTTTACAATCTACAATCTCTTGCTCACTTATTTCTCTCTCTTCTTCACTCAAGCTCTTCTTTCGAGAGCTAAACACGTTGGCAAATGCAGTCTTGCATATTTGCACTGCTGTACATCAACATGGTAGGATAAGATTTCTAGCAGGTGAACTAGTTTGTATAGTTTGAATATTAAAGTTGCTCCATATATTGATATGGTCGGTAAAGTGTAATTCATAGAATCTCATAATACTATTGTAGTCTAAAATCTTAAATATAGATGAAACAGCTCACTAATATACAAAGTAACGGCACTTACTGTTACTTGCCTCTGATTGTATATATTTACATAAATCAATTGAGCTAAAAAACTTAATTCATGGCCAATTAAATAAGCATTAACAAGCACACGGCACATTTTGCCGGCATTTAAAGAACACTTGCCGAGCGGATTCCAGTCGATGCAGCAGCGAAGACCCATCGAACAATTAAATCAACTGTCAATTAAGTTGATAGCTTTTAAAGACACTTTTTGGCGCCAAAAAGTATGTACACACGACTACAAATTCTGCTCGTCTTTCGATAACAAAAAGGCGCGCACTTTTTTTGGAGGAGCACAAACACGTTTTTTTTTTTTTTTTTTTTTTTTTTTTTTTTTTTTTGTAATGAAATAAATCAAGTGAAATAAATAAAAGTGTATGTTATTAAGGTACGAATTGCATTTATAACATGCTCGTTTTGTGGCGGATTTATGAAAATTAAGTTAGGTTTCAAATCATCGTCAAAAAATAATGTGGACACACTCTGAATGGAAATCAAATAGGGTCGGCCGATAGCATACAATTAAAATGATTCAAAGATGATATTAATTTATTGGTACATATGCCGCTGCTGCAATATATTATATTTTGAATCCGCTTTTAAACAACCGCGTTGTGGTGGACAACAGTGTGTACACATCAGTTGGCATCATGGCTCGCCAGATTTATCGATATGCGCAATTTATCAATATCAATGTAAAGCGCTTTTGTGCCCTGATCGACATTAAAAGCATGCTTCAATTGGAGTAAACCAAATAAGAGAATAATATATTTGTTGAATGCAAATAAGACATATATATAGATATATAAATCAAGTGCGAAATATGTGTGATTCGGTCGCTGCTCCCGATCAGCGCAACGTTGAGATCAAGGCGCGCATACCCGGCGGTCCGCGTGAGTTCGAACGCCGGCTGGCCATTGCGCGCCAGCTAACGAGCTCAGATGGCGAGCTTATTATCCAACGTGACGTCTTCTTTAATTCACCAAAGGGTGGCCGGTTAAAGTTGCGCTATTTACAGCCGCCTGCACGCTCACAGTTGGTCTACTACGACAGACCCGACGTAGCCGGCCCAAAGCTCTCCAGATACAACAAAATCGATGTGGACGAACCGGCCGTGCTGGAGAAAATGCTCGGCCAGTCGAATGGTGCGTTGGGCGTGCTGGCAAAACGTCGCCTGCTCTTCCTGCATGAGCAAACGCGCATTCACATGGACGATGTGCAGGATCTGGGCCATTTCATGGAATTCGAAGTGTGCCTCCGACCTGAGCAGACCCTGCAACAGGGCCAGGATATTGCCGAGCAGCTGAGCCGCACATTTGGTATTACCGCCGAAGATTTGATGACGGGCTCCTATTTCGATGCCCTGAACAAAGGCGGCGATTCATGAACTCTGCCTTTCATTATCTTTACTCTTTAGAGCCGTTTTTGATCCTTCGGGTTTTTCTAAGATATAAGAAATAGTTCGCTAAAAGATTATATATATGTAAGCTATACAACCCAAGTTACTTACGCTATCGCAGCCGCATTATTATCGAATTATTCAAATAGATAAAACAAATATTCAACCAAAAGGTAAATATATATATTGTTAATGTAAATATCATATTGTACAT